AAATTGTCGTCCTTAAACTTGTCATAAAAAAACGCCAGGGCGGAATTGCTCTGTGCCACATGTGTCGCACTTATTAGGGTCCAACATTTATGAGTTGATATCTGTCTGCATCACGAGTGCATGGTTCGTGCAATGGTCGCGACATAGGGCCTATATTTGTTTCCATCTTGTTTTTTTCTCTTCACTTTTTCTCGGGCATCTCCAATGCTGACCTGCAAAACAAACACTGCATCCGTCCGCGGATAGGGGGGCCAGTCCGGGGACACGGGTACGAGATCCGCCCATCCAAAGCTATCGGCATACCTCTGACCCAAAAATTTTCTTGAAAAGTACGCACGCTCAAATAGCCACATATATAGTCTAGAGTAGTTCAAATGTTCAAATACAATAGTAGTTCTACTAAAAATTTAGAGATGAAAACTCCAAGTTCTTTTAAGCCAAGGCAACTTTTGAATAGAGATAAAACCACATTTCTATTATGCAAGATGAGTCTGGAAATGAGTTTACTAAAAACCAAGCCAAAGCCAATTTTATCAAAGAAGCCTTCAAAGAGAGCTTCGGATAAACTAAAGCAACTAGCAACCTGCTAAATCTGCACTCAGTGCTTCACAAAAGAGATAACTTGCAGAGTTTAGAGCCCCCCTTCGCTAAAGAGGAATGCAGTGATCTGGGAGATCCCCACTGACAAGGCTCTTAGACCCGATGGCTTTAATGGAGCTTTCATCAAAGCTCGCTGGAACATTATTTCAAAGGATTTTTACAAGCTCATTGAAGACTTCCACCAGGGAAAATGCCATCTGGGTAGCATCAATGCCTCTTTCATCACACTCATTCTAAAGGAAGACACCCCTCTGAATGCAAATGACTTCGGGACCATATCCCTCTTAAATTGATCTATTGAAATCATTAGTAAGCTGCTAGCAAACAGACTTCAGAAAGTTATCCTGCAGCTAGTACACCCTAATCAATATGGCTTCATCAAGAGCAGAACAATTCATGATTGCCTAGCTCGGGTCCTTGAGTATTTGCATCAATGCCACATGTCAATGAAGTAAATTCTAATCCAATAGCTAGAATTTGAGAAGGCCTTTGATCCACTATTCTAGTGATTCTGAAAGCAAGAGGTTTTGGAGAAATATGGCTAATGTGGATGGAAAAGATTTTCAACTCTGGGACATCTTCTATTATGCTCAATGGGGTACCTAGAAAGGTTTTTCACTACAAGAGGGGGTCAAACAGGGGGACCCCGTAACCCTCCTCTGTTTGTCTTAGCTGCTGATCTCCTACAGTCTATCCTAAATGCAGATATGACTAATCACCTCACTCAGCCACCTCTACATAAATCCTCATGCTCTGACTTCCCAGTGATCCAGTATGCAAAGGTTAAGCAACATGGACCATTCATGCAATGAAGCGGAAAAAACTTGTTGAACCGGGAGGTCCACGGTTATTGCCACGGAAAGAATAAAAATCATTTCGCCCTCCTGAATCATCTTAACCTAAGTTGGATCCCTTTTCACTGCCACCACTATCATCGCATGCTGCTGGCTAGTGCATGTTGGCCGCACCACACAACTGATGGAGCAGGAAGAATTAAGTGTAGAACTTCGAGAACGACAACTTGATGTTTGGCAATTGCATATGATTTAGTTGTAGCCTTTTCCTAAATGGCACACAGGAAATGTTCTTTGCCTCTCGTAATGCTGTACCAGAATGTGCATGTGATTTAATTGTTGTTCAAAGCAAAATTGACATGGAAGTGTAACTATTGCAAGGGGTTGTCACTTGAAATCAAAGTACACAAGAAAAGTATTAAAGAACGAGAGAGTAATGGAAAGTGATGAAATCTACAATAGGGCTAAAACGTTCTTAGGCAGGCTGGATTCACCACTAGTATGTATACTACTTAAACATATAAATGCATAGTTATAGGTTAAGATAACTAATCCATTTTGTATGTTTTTATTAGTGGATGGAGCCAGGTACAAACATGTGCATACATGCGTAGCTCCGTATTACACACGCCACCACCGTCCGCGTAGAAGAGATGACAAATTTGAAGCGTTCTTTGTGGTTCATCATGAAATTCGAGATGTGGATACTCATGAAGATCTTGAACAATATCTCACCGAGGAGTGATGGATGTGGAATGGGCAACAACGCCACTAGTTCTAACTCTATGTGTCATGTCATTTGTGGTGATCTTAATTTGTGTCATGTTTGAATAATTGTGTTGAATTTGAGGTTGCGGAATGATGAACTCGTAATAATTAAGTACTATTTTTGTTTAATTTGAAACGAGTTTGATATTATTTTCTAAAATTTCATATGCTCAAATTTGTGTGGTAGAGGAAGAATGCCAAATTTTTAGGGCATCAAGAAAAGAAGAAAAAAACTATATTATGGTGCCCAAATACCTTCTCTTTCCTCACCTAAAATTATTTTTGGGGCACCAAACTTCTTGTCATATTTTGGAAATGCTCTCACTTGTAGTGAAAGCTTGTGTTTGATATAAAATGTTTTAGGCACCACATACCTATAAGGCATCTGTTGGAGCTGATTTTCTTCAAAAGAACCCAAATGATAATTTTTCGGGGACGACAACTATTATTGTGCATCTGTTGGAGATGTTGTAAAATAGAACACATGTACATATCCTTAGTTATCAAAGTTACTATGTTTGAGTGAGACCACGTGTTAGCGTCCAATTCTTTTTGTAAAGGGAATATATGAATATCGAGAAGATATCAATTAAACCCACCCTCTACAACAATATAACTCGAGCATTACTCAAGAGATTGAGGATTCACACAAGTAAATAACTATAAAAAAATCAACCAACTGAACGACTGTGGCAAACAACAACAACAACCTTCAAGGATGGTAACCCCAGGTTACATGATAGGTACTTCAACAACGACGCCTCAAAAAAGGAAACGATGCATGAGCAACGTTGTCACTAGACCAAAGCACTGAGGCAAGATGATGGGTGTTCGTCATGGAATAAGTCTGGGTAAACTCCATGCAATGCCTTTAACATGGGAACATCTCGTGAATGACACAGTTGTTAGGTTTAACCAAAGAAGGTCGTACCTAGAGTTTTCACACCTGGACATTGAGCCCACTTAAAATTATGTAATGTTAAAGAATGCGGGCTATAAGAGCTGCCACGTTAAATTTGTTCCTAGTTGGAGGAGAGAGCAGAGGAGAGAGAAGAGAAGCGGGTTACAAGCTTACAGCCGGCTTGTAACACAAGCCCCAAGAACGCTTGTGAGAGAAAGATGTGTACCATGCACTAATGGTAGTGCATATTAGTATGACTAACTATTGTATGAGTGTGATATTAGATTGACTATAATGACATGACAACCCCATATAGCCTGCTCTTGGCTATATCATTAACCATGCTCTCATAATCACCTCAATTCTTTTAGTCGGGTCTTGAGTTTGATACCTCACAATGTTTCTTATTCTATTGCCTACACTACCGGGTTGCCAGGTCCCAATGGAGTCGGGCCAGCTGATAGGTTCGATGGGCTCAGGCCCAGGCAGCTATCGAAGGTGTAGTGGCATACAAACCAAACATATGATTGAGGTAGAAGTGGAAGGACGGAGGCGTAAAATATTTAGTACTACCTTGCATGGAAAAAAAATCTCAAAAATAGTTATATGGGTGAACGGACCAGAAATCCAGAGAAACACACCATCTTTTATAATAATAATAATTATTAGGTATAGAAATTATGTGTTTAGTATACCCAAGGGGATCTGCAAAGAAATCATGGATGTTATCCCTCATGGTGGAGTGATGATGAAAAACATAGGAAGATGTAGTGGATGGCATGGTGGATGCTTTGTATTCCGAAGAGTGAAGGAGGTATGGGATTCCATGACCTCTACTCTTTCAACTTAGTTTTATTCGTGAAACAGAGTTGGCGACTCATAACTGACCCGGATTCTTTGCTGGCAAGGGTATTAAAAGCTAAATATTATCCCAATGGGAGCTTGCTTGATGCCACATCGAAGAATGGGGCATCCTTACTTGGCAAAGTATTTTGAAGGGATTATAAACTTTTAAAAAGGGATATATTTGGAGAATAGGAACCGGAGAGGAGGTCAATATCCGGAATGGCCGGTGGATACCGCTAGTACAAATTTTGAAGGTGATCACGCAAAAGGGGCAAACATTTTTCTCCAAGGTGGGTGTATTAATTGACCCTTCA